AGATTGATTAACTGGACTGATTCAAATCATTACAATTTCTTCAAAAGTTCAGTTTTGTTCCAAGAAAACTTTCTGTTTCTTTTCTGATGTGCAAGAGAAATAATAATAATAATTACAATAAAACATCTTAATCTTTGATACATGTTAGATTGAGCACATTTGAATTCTTAAATAATTAATAGGTGTTTTTTTTTAAACGAAAACAGAACTTTTTCTCAATTATTTTCAAAATATTGTTAAGATATTTAGTTAAATGTAATGTTTACGTTTCCATGACAAATTGTATAAAATCTACATGTTTTTATTTGTTTGTGACTTCCTTTCCTGAGAGTCCGTTTGTTTTCGAGTTCATGCACGAATCGTGCGGACGCTGCAGAACCTGGACGGGGACGACGTTAGTCTGGAACGTTTCCTCCAAAAGGTAAAAACTTTTATTTTCTGATGCTGAAAACATAAAAACAGCAAATGAAATTTTAAAGTTTTCACTTGAGCTAATTATAACTTTTACATTAAAATCTCCAGCTAATCTTTAACACAATGATTAAAAGTAAGTCTAAAATATATGTTTGCACACATCAAGAATGAAAATTTAACCTCTTCATTTGCAACAGTTTCTTCTTTCTAAACAAATACTGTAACACGACCACGTTTGGCACAAAGTTTTGTATAAATTAATGAAGTTATATCATGTTTTCATTCACCCGCTCATATATTTGGACTTTTTCATTAATAACATAATCGGAGAATATAAAAAAAGTGTTTAGTTTTAAAAGCTTGTAAACTTTTATGAATTATGTGTGATACATAAAACCAAACGTTATGATGGCAGACAAAAAATTAAGAAAATAAAAAAGAATTTAAAAAAATACAACCATAAACCATAAAAAATGTTTTTCTGCGTACAATAGCCACATAGCTCATATTTGTTTCACGATTTACTTCTTTAGTGGGTTTATTTTAATTCATTTGTATATTTATTGTTTACTTTTTCTAGAGTGCATCTATGAATAATGGCACTGAATAATATGAATAAAATAATCTATAAATTGGGATGGTGCAGAAGACATCTAAATATAGATGTTTCCATCACGTCCAGTCAACGCCGACTTCACACAGTCTCTGGTATAGCAATAAGAAAATATAAAACCAGTCTGTTACAGCAGTGATTTAAAACAACTTTTCATTTTAGATTTTTAAATAGAAACAGAAGACTGACACGTGTACAGTGCACAGAAAAATACATTCTTTTACCGTAACAACGAATAATAAATCAAACCTACATTAATGTTTAGATTTGAATTAAGAGTTTAAAAAATAATTATCTGTTGTCCAAAATAAAGAAAAAATAAAGTCTTCAATTTAGTCAGACTCAAATGTTGACCCTCTTCTGTCATAATGATTCACTTTATATCAACAGAACAAAAACACTATGGCAGTAATTTAACATTCAATAAAAAGGTTTACTCAAAAAGTGGAGAACAAAGGACTATAAAAGTTGAATAATGCTTAAAGAAAACTGCGTAAATGTGGAACTACCGTATGTGTGGTCTCTCCTCCCCTGCGGGATGTCTGCGTCACTACGCGCCTATGTGCGGGGTGTTTTTTTCAATCTCAGGCTCCCTCTCCGCAGCCAAGGAGTGAGAGTTTGATAGGATTTTTTTTTGGTCTCTAAAATCCGACATGTGTCACTTTCATTACTTTTTCTCTGCCTAAACAGGTCGCACTTGTAAATGAGACTTTGAGTCAATGTGATTTATCTGTGTAAATAAAGGTTGAATGAATATGAATTTTTAAAAAGAAGGTTTTGCTTATTTTAGCAATATTTTCATTTTCCAGCAAGAGTCTGGGTATTTCCTACTCTGCTGCAAGTTCAATGTTTTATTTTTCTACTGAAAATATACTTCATCTTTAGCAATTATGACAGAAAAGTTTGACTGAATTGATCTTTTTTTATGTTTTACAGAAAAAAACTAAAAATCTTTCAATCAAGAGAATGATCATAAAGACGATTACAGTTTTTGAAGACAGCATCTTTCGTCCTGATGCCATTCAGCTCCCACACTGTCCTGACCGGAGATCCAGTCTCCTGGAAGAGGACAAGAGACACGCTCCGGTCTCTGCACCTTCCACCTCCAACATCATCCAGCTGTCAGACATGACAGTCCCACCACCTGCTGTTGTGGCAGAACTAAAAAAGAAAGAAGGAGCATCTGAGGATGAAACCTGCACTGAGATGCTGCTGAAAGAGTCCAGAGAAGAGCCAGGAGGCAGTGAGGATCAGCAAGAATCCCACCTAAAGAAGAAACTGGGCAAAAACCTGCGGGGGCTTCCTGATTTTGAACACAAGTTAGAAGAATCTCTGAAAAAAGTTGGAGGAACGGCGAGAGAGAAAAGCGTCAGCAGAAGGTTTCTCAACAGGCTGGACGGATTACTGCAGGATCTCTGCAAAAAGAAGATCTCTACAACCTACAAGAGAGAGCGACAGGAGGGGGACGAGGTCTACCACAGTAAGAACATCGACAACGTAAACACCTCAGTATCGCCGCCTCCAAAAGGCCCGTGTGTGTTCGTCTGTTAGCAAAATCTCACCTCACGAGACAGATTGTAGTGAAACTTTCAGTAAATAATTATTGGCTGTACAGCTACAAGTCATGAACTTTTGGAGCCAACTTTATTCAAGATGGCTGCCACATCTAATCAACCTTAGCAAACATGTAAATGGCTATAACCCGGTCAGCTTGACAAATATTAGCTCAAATTCCACTGTGGTAGTAGCCGAGAGTCATGTCTAACACACACTCTGAGTGCAAACAAACTGCACGAGTTTATAAGTTTACATTAAATTGCACATGTTCACTCACACACTGTTTTCATGTGCTAATCTTCTATCCTCTTGTCTTTTTTATTTTGTAGGGAAGATCAGCTCATTGCTCTTCTCTCCTACTCTTTTTGCCTCTGAAGCCAACTCTGACGACGACTACGTAATGAGGCGCGCTCAGAGGGAGAGACAGAAGAGAGAGAAGTGGCTCCGCCGTGATAAACGGAGGGAGGGAGTCAAGAGACGCTTGGTCACCTTCTGGAAGGGAAAAAGTAAGGAGAAGGAGGCTCTGAGAGAGGAAGAGGAGCGCTGTCAGAAGTGTGCAGCAGAACACGACGTCGGCATCCCTGACTCCTCAGCAGGAGGGTCAAAGAGGAGGATGAGCTTTTTCACAAAATGGTTTTTACGGTCAGTTTTTAACACGCACACATTTTTATGAATCCACCTCCTTGTGGCACAGGATGTCTATACTCATCACAATGAGGTAAACTATCATTAACTGTCATAATCCAATTCTGTTTTCCAGAGCAAAACAGTTTTTCTGCAACTGAGGCTCACCCTACCAACAATAACCTTCTTATTTTACAATAAAAAATACTTTTATAAATTATCAACCTTCTCTTTGGTGTGATGCTGTCAATATTTGTTAACATGATAAGGTTTTCTTGTAATTCTCCCCATTTTAATGCAATGTCAGGGAACATACAGTTGAAACCAGAAGTTTACATACACTATTTAAAAAGACACGTGCATTTTTTTTCACACTGTCTGACGTGAAATCAGAATAAACTTTTCCCGTTTTAGGTCAATTAGGATTACCAATTTTTTTTTTATATATTTGCAAAATACCAGAATAATGAGAGTGAGTTTTTTTAAGGCAATTTTTATTACTCTCTGGTATTTTGCCATTTGAAAAATTTTGGTAATCCTAACAAACCTAAAATGATCAAAGTTTATTCTGATTTCACGTCAAGACAGTG